ACAGTGGATAATAATGTTATGCGACAGCTTGAAATTGCTGATGAAAATCAAAAAAATACATCAAAATCTCAAAAGCATGAATTATTTAAATTATTTTCACATTCAAATGAGTTACATCCACAATCATGTTTTATTAGCCGCTATATTCATACTCTTCATGAATTGCATGATTTATTAGAAGAAATAAAATCAGGAAAATCTTCAGGTATATTCTTAGAACAATTTATTTTAATAAATGAACAAATAAACTCATTAATTATAAACTTTTATTAATTAAACTTTAAATTCATAGATCCCAATTTATTATTGAAATCCAATGAATCAACAACTTTAAGTGACAATATTCGTAATATTGACTGGGAAACAAAATCAACTATTTCAAGTAACACTCATAATTTTGGCTGGGAAACAGAAGTTCAAAGCACACAGGAAAATATCATTCGGCCTTGTATCGTGTTGTGATTCCCGAAAAATTTAATTAATGAGTTAATTTGGATAGGAAAAGTTTAAAAAAATAATAATAAATGGAAAATTTCTGGAAAATTCAAATAAATCTTATTTTTTTAAAAAATATTTCGACGCATAAATGTTATTATATGCTATAAAATTACTTTGCTAAGATTTTTTTTACTGTTTTTTACTCCGAATTATGCTTAAAGGTTAATTCTATCACATATGAGTTAGTGTTTCTTTCATAACATAGAACGCTTTCAGTTATTCACATATATTTTATTTATTTTTTCATAGCTTTTGTTATTATTTTTTTTTTGTGTTTAAGTTCGGAACTAATAATGTTTAAGAGAAATAATGAATATTTGTGTTAAAATAGTGAAAAAATTAAATTGTTAAGTGCTTGCGTTTTTTGGCACCACAAGAATATAGGCAAGATGTTCTATACTAGCCCATGAAGTATAAAAATAAAAATGGGTATATAAGTAATTTGATATTATTTATTTATTGTGTTTACACAAGAATGATGCTTTCTTTTTAATAAAGGTAAGATTTTTTTATTACGGCGAACTTATTCTTTGCAACCATTTTCTTATAATAGTGTATCCCACAAACATCTCGGAAGTATTTTGATTATTATCAAAATAAAATAGCTTGGATGTTGTCCATTTACCTTTGAATAGTCACATCATCACTCGTGACTTGATTGGAAAATGATTAGTCATTTGTGATGGAATAATTCCAGTATTTAATTATACAAATAATACTCCCGACGCCACACTTGCTATTATTATTAAACATTGACTCTACAAAATCTGCTGACATCAAGATGAAATTGCACCATGCTGTTGTTGCTGAAGAAGCAGCGGAGATCGGTATATTTGTCGTTGTTTGCTGCTGTCGAATTTGTTGTTGATAATGTCGAAGTTCTGAATATTACTGCTGAGTGAGTCAAATAAGAAGAATTAAGAGAATTAAGAATCAACTGAGATGAGTTATTATTAACTATCATGTGAAGTTACTTGAATTGGATATTGTGATGTTGTTGTTGAGATTGCTCAGATTTTGTTGATATTGAATTTAATGAATTTGTAGTTTTTATTAGGCTACAAAGAAATGTGCTGATGAATTTGATTTTGAGTTGGAGCAGTTGAGATTGTATTAGAGTTTACATTAATGTGGAGATGAGTTTTTTCCGTGTGGAAATAGTGACGAAGGCATCACGATTCCATCTTGAGTAATAAATTTGATTTCGAATTATTTTGGGGATGCCTTAATTTTAGCTGCTGCGATGAGATTCGAGATAGAATAAATTTTAATGATTTGATGGTTTGAATTCGGACTCAAATAGTTGAAATGCTTTAAAGTGTAAAGAATTAAAAATATATTAGAAATAAATATTTTTTTACCTGCGCGATGCTTTTGTATCATCTAATTTTATTGTAATATCTTTTTTCATCAACCATTTGAATAAAAATTTAGATTTTTTCCTGTTGCTTTTAATTCTTGTTCATTAAAGAGTATGAACTATAACTTTGTGTTTTATCATTTGCTTCACGATATAAAAGAATTAATGTATAAATTTCGTAGGATAAATAAAAAATAAATAAATAATATAATTTTAAATAAATAGAATTTAATAAATAATTTAATTAATAAACCCTTCTCCATCAACAAATAAACAATCACGCTCAAATCTCATTGATCCTATTGATCTTATCCTGGCTCCAAGACTATCTTTATTGTCAAGAGTCCTTTTTTTAAATTAATAACATATTAATAACTTATATCAGTAATTTATAGATTATTTTAATTGAACATACTAGATTTACCAACCTCTTTCCTTTATCAAGAACAGGCTGAAAAGATGCTCCACGATTTGTTTTCGAAAATATTTTAATATGTTAAACTATGTTTGAATCTATAGTGATAAATTAAAACATTAAATTAATAAATATTTGAATATTAAAAGTGGAATATGATAGTAATAAAAAATTCGCGCTGTTCATTTACCCCCGCAAAGAACTAAGTTATATTATTTTTTACGTTCATATTCTCATATACTGATTTATGATTATCACTAATTTTACTAATTTTTTTTTTACCTGATTGTATTGATATTTTTTCCAGTTACAATTAGATAGAAAATTTTTCTTGGATTATTGAAAAGAATTCAAATCATATAAATATGTATTGATTATAACAGAAAACAAATTTCATGAATGTCTTTACAGTTTGCCATCAAAAACATCTATACGTAAACATATTGTAAACATATTGAGGTGGCACGAATGCCACGGGGAACGCTGTACGAGGATTACGGAAGGTTACGAATGTCACGAGAGATGGTAGCAAGATGACAGTGTTACCTGAGGATGAGTGTGCTACCATCTAGATGACAGATTTCTCATCCTTGCACAGCATCTTTCATCCTCGTAGAAAAAAAGGGAGAAAACTTGTTAAAACGCGAAAACAAAAAGGAAAAAGAGAACAAATTGGAAGGTATAAAAATAACCAGTGAAAAAGGAGAAAGAGGGAGATTCCTTTTCGCCAAAAAAAAAGAACAAGAACCAAAAATAAAAATATTTTACTTGATATTTCGAACAATTTCGATTTTAGTCTTTATTTTCTTTACTTAAATATTTTGAACATTTTAATTTAGTTTTATTTTTACTTTTATTCGTAATACTTTCAATAATAATAATTAATATAGTCGCAGGACTAGCGAAGCGATAAGATACGCCAAAGCAGTAATATATCACTATTGTTATTCTCTTTTATTTCCTTTATATCTTTGTAATAATTTCAAACATAAATTTAGTGTAGCGGAATAACAAAAGTGATAAGATACGTCAAAGCAGTAATATATTGTTTTTGTTATATCCGATATTAAACTTTAATAAACTATTTCTTTTATTTCTTGACAAGTTACATCAAAAAGTCTACAATAGTTTTAGTAGTGTGCAAGCAGTTGTTAAAGATACTTTTACTCCACTTGCTTCGGATATTACACATAATTGCATTGTTCGAGAGTGTTAGTAAACAGGTTTAGATTGACTGATTACCTGATCTTACCAAGTTTTGTGATATTGTGTACAAGAGATAGTGTGTTAGTAATACATTGAATTATCATGTGATTGATCTAAATTTATTGGAACTAATTGACTATTTATTGAGACTGATTGGCTTAACTTTCCACTTGTTTTGCACAAACTACGACAATGTATATAAATTCTTGACCTTTTTTTTTCCATTTCGAGTCACAAAAATCTTCCCAAAAAAGAGTATTGTTGACAAGTGATTGAACTTAATAACTTATCAATACTTACCAATTGGGTGAAGGTATTTTGTATCGTGACTTCACCAAAAAAAGAATAACAATAGATAAAAAAAACCAGAATAATATATAATTTAATTTTTTAAATATATCATCAGGAAATTTTAAAAGGCAAAAATCTCCGGAAATTTTTCAGTTTGATTATTTTCCGGAAATTCTACAAACTCCCGAAATTTTCCGGAAAAAAAATTCGCAATATTCTGAAAATTTTCGCAGTTTTTCAGAATTTTTTGTAATAAAAATTTGCAAATATTCCGGAAATTTTACAAAAAAATTCACAATATTCCGGAAATTTTTTGTAAAAAATTTGTGTAGAAAATTGTTATATTTTCAATTTTTCGAAAAGTTTTGATAA